AAGATAAAGAATGCAAAGTTGTTAAAGAGAAAATAATGCAAGAAAAAGATGAGCTTTTGTTGGAAAATGGGAAATTGTTGCAAGAAAATGTGCAATTGAAGAGACACAGTGGATTAATGGATAGAAAGGTAAGTGTTTTGGAGAAGAAAGTGAAAAAGCTGGAGAAGAGATACTCAAAAGCTGTGATGATCAATGAAGTGATATGTTTGGTTTTTTTTATTTTCATTGGTTTGATTTCTGGTGTATTGCTACTTAAAATCACCAGATATTAGGCATGTGAATCTTCAGTTGTGGTTTTTGTAATTCAATGTAAGAGATGGTTTTTGTTGGAATATATGTATTTTTGTTATTTTATCTATACAAATTAGTTCACTTTGTTGGTTAACTTGTCATTGTCTTGCAATGGTCTAGCAAAATTCTACATGGCCATTCAATAACAGAACAGAACCATGGTATCATCAACTTGAATAATAGATATTCATAAGATCCAAGACTAATACAGTAGCATTAGAAAAAACAGAACCATGTTTACTTGGACAATAACAAAACAGAACCATGCTTCCTTAGTCAAAAGCAAACAAGAAAATGCAAAATTAACTTCATCAACACAGCATCTTAGAGGAAATTTGGCCAGAACTTAAAAGAAGACTCTTGTTGCTGGATTTGTTCATCAACCTAAAAAACCTCCAAGTGAAGCTTCTTCATTATTCTTCTTCACCATTTCCCTTGCTTGCTACATCTGTCTTGCTTGTGCTTGCAACTACCTTGCAGTAATAAATTGGTAACTAGTCCCAACTCTCTCTGAATTGCCTTTTTCCTGAATCAATATTAAGATTTGTAAAATGGTTTGACTCCAAAGAAAAACAACAAAAATTGAGAGCAACTATGTGAATGGTATGTGTGAACAGTATCTGGTATCACATGAAAAAAAAAAAAAAAAACATTAGCAACCATGTGAATAGTATCCGTGAATAGTATTGACCAAGAACAACTAAGCATAAAGACAAACTAGAATTAAAATGCAACAAAACAACTTGAAATAACTGAACTAATTCAGTTTCATGACATCTTAAAATCTACATTTCTTCAAAAATACCACTAGAATATTGCATAATATACAACAATAATTATAAATTAATAGTTAACATCAATGCTTTAGTATTATTAACTTTAATTTCCAAAGAACCAACTTCAAAACAAGCACATTTAGACACAATTATATAAAGTAACACAATCTTAGGAACACTAACATGCTGTTTTTATTACCAGAATTTCCCTTTTTTACTCTAGGAAGGATGTCTATGAAAATAACACTTCATAAACATATAAGAAACATAAAGTATAAGCTACAATAATAATTTAATAATAAATTTCCTTTTGCTTTTGCCTTTTTGCTGGGTTCTTGGCATTTTTTTTTTTAATGCTAGATAGGAGTTTGAGTATCCCCTCCACTTGGGACAAGAGTTGCTTCACTTGATAATGTACCATCAAGAGGAGGGGTTTGAGCAACTTTTGAAGATGAAGACCTTCTAATGGGGAGCTTGTCTCTTTTGCTTGGTTGCTGGACAAGGGCAAGTTGTTGGACAGGAGGGAGTTGCTGGACAGGTTGCTGGATAGGAATCAATTGCTGGATAGGTTGTTGGACAGGTTGCTGTACAGTAGTAGAATTTGGAACCTGTTCTTTAGTGTTTGCTAGTGGATTTGATGCTTCAATCACAAGAAATTGTCCCTCATTGCCATTTACATTTTGAAGGGCTTGCACCAAAATTGAAAAAACATTATTACAACCTCAATAACAGAATAATAATAATAAAAAAAGCAAATTATGTAGCGAATAATCACTCACAATTGTGGGTCCTTGTTCTTTACACGATCTTGAATTATGGTCCTTTTTGAAACACTTTTGACAAGTCGTCAATCTCCCTTTTTTACTCAATTTGGTCTGACCTTCCCATTCTTCCAAAATTCTCTTCCTTTTTGGTCTTCCCGGCATCTTTCTTGTCAATGGTGGTTGAATAAGGGGCATTCTAGTTTTTTTCCATTGACTCATTCCTTCAATGGTAGGAACTTCAAACTAATAAGAGGCTAAGAATGCCTTCTTTTTATAACATTCGGCTACATAGTCTTCCACCTTTTGCTTGGTGGCATTAATAACTGTAACAGCATGCTTGCATGGAATTCTTATGAGATCTCGAGACTTGCAAGTACATTTTCTGTTCTCTAAGTCAACCACAAAACCATTTGTTCCATCTTCCATTACTTCATAGTTATTTCCACCAGGCCAAATTAATCTGCACCTCTTGCTTACATGGACATTAGCTACAATTTTTTCCCATATTTTAGGACCAAAATCATCAACAAACTCGGACTCAATAAATCCTCTTCTTGCAACAGTCCTGTTTCCACAAAATATCCTCAAATCTTAATTCATTGAAATTATGGCCTTTTGTCTTGCATCCACTAATAAATCATTGAAGACTTCACACATATTATTGTCAACAATATCACACTTTATATCTGTTTTGAAGAAGGCCCTACACTAGTGTTTTGGATCTGAATCTAATAAGTCATTCCTTGCTGAAGCTTTTAATTTGGTTAACTCATCCAAAGCTTTGTTGAATTCGGCAATAGTATTTGATTTCACACACTTCCAAAACGCAATTTGCAATGCTTTGCCTTTGTTTTTCTTCCTGAAATTGCAGTATTTATGCCTAGCACAAAATCTATGCTCAACATAAGGGAAAATCTCCTTAACTGCTTGAATAAGTCCCTGTTAAATTGGTACAAGATAGCACAAATGATTAACTTATTTAAATTGGAAAAAATATATAATGAAAAGCAAAATGACACCTTTTGTTGGTCTGACATAATACAGAATTTTGTTCCATCTCCCATTAGCAAATCCTTTTGTAATTCTTCAAAAAACCATAGCCATGTTTTTTTTTTTTCAACCTCGACAACTAGCCATGCAATCAGAAACATTTGATTGTTTGCATCTCTTCCAATTGCAGTCAACAATTCTCTTTTGTGAGCACATTTAAGAAAGGCACCATCAACACCAATGATACGCCTGCAGCCAACAAGAAACCCTTTCTTCAAAGCACTAAAACATACATACATTCTTATAAAAGTGGGGTTAACATCTGCTGTGGGTCTATGAGCATGGAGAACAATGTTTGCTTCTGGATCTTTTGACCTCAGTTCATTAGCATAGTTGAATAGCATGCCATATTCAGCCTTGGAAGCACCTTCAAAAGTCCTTTTCAACTATTGCTTTGTTTTCTTACATTGCACCGAAGTTAGCTCAATATTCTTCTCATTCCAACTAGCTTGAAAGATGCTATCATAATTCATATACAAACAACTTGCTCCTCTAGAATTAACTAAATGCTTAGCTACATGGCGTGAAGTATATATCTTGTTCACAACACCCCAATTGCATGTATGCTCTTGTTGGAAAGTTTTTACCATCCAAGAGTCTAATGGGCTGTCCTTTGCCAACAAAATCTTCCATCTGCACCCTTTTTTCTTAGCTTCCTTGTATATTGCCCTCAACCTGACCTTGTCATTTTTCACCCATTTAATTTGTCTACCTTCTTTAAAACTCAACTCGTCAATAGCTTTTTTAAACTGTTCCTTGATAATAAAAATCATCCCAAGACCTATCACAGGCCAATCTTCATTTTCCCTAAATACCGGATGTATAGCCTTTCTTCTTCTACCATGTTCAGCTTCACTGTCATCCTCATCACTTGTTGTAATATAGCTAACATCATCATCTGATTGGAATGCTCCATTATCAATTTCTGCTACTACATCAATATGTCTTGTACAAACAAACAAAAGTAGATTAGACATAATAGATATTAAAGGCAATAAATAATAAATTACAAGAAGAAATAGGCAAACCTACACCAATAGCAATACTAGAAGATCCCACTTCCACGATGGATTCTGATTGTTCATTCTCAGTTCTGGGTTTACCTTGAGAAGCTATGAGGTTTCTCAAAATTGTCCTAGCTTCAATAGTCTCCTCATCTTTATTATCCGACAAATTAGGGACATCTAACACTAGTTCTACCATACCACTTTTTATAGTGACAATATTTAAATCTTCAATTCCAACCTCATTGTGGACCCCACTAGCACCTCCACCATCGTTAAATATTTCATTTTCTTCTTCTTCATTGCTCCAACTTCCACCAACCTCATTCACTACTTCATCTACATTATTCAAACGCCTAG